GTATGAAACAGATCTAGCTGCATTTAGTCCTTTATTTCAAGTTCAATAGGTCAGGGTATGAAGCAGATCTAGCTGCATTTAGTCCTTTATTTCAAGTTCAATACGCCAGGGTATGAAGTAGATCTAGCTGCTTTTGCACTGTCCTTTATTTCAAGTTTAATGGGTCAGAAATTTATGCAGATCGAACTGCATTTGCATTGTCCTTTATTTCAAGTTCAATAGGTCAAGGTTTAACATATTAACTAATCACAAACTTAACAAGAGTAAAATGTCTCGCCTGTTTTACTGACCATTGATTTTATGTTGAAAGTCTTAAAGATAAAGGTTTTACTACAAGTATCACATAAACTTAACATATCTAAAGATCAATGACAATGAGGTCAAGGTCAGATAAAAACTGTCACACAGACATGTTCACCTTACAAATATAAATCAAATATAGTTGACCCATTGCTTATGGTAATTGAAAAACAGAACAAAACACAAAAACTTAAATTTTTTAATTTTAGTTCATTTATATGTTTTGGAGTTTAGTGTGATGTCCATTTTCACTGAACTAGCACACAATTTCATTTAGGGGCCAGCTGAGGACCACCTCCGGGTGCAGGATTTTCTCGCTGCATTGAAGACCCATTGGTGGCCTTCGGCTGTTGTCTGCTCCTTGGTCGGGTTGTTGTCTCTTTGACATATTCCCCATTTCCATTCTCAATTTTATGTACACCTTACAATCAATTTTATGAATTAAATATAGTTGACCTATTGCTTATAGTATCTAAGAAACAAACTTAACCATGAAAACTTAACATTGACCAATGAACCATGAAAATGAGGTCAAGGTCAGATGATACCTGCTAGACAGACATATACACCTTACAATCCTTCCATACACCAAATATAGTTGATCTATTGCTTATGGTTGAAGAAAAACAGACCAAAACACAAAAACTTAACACTGAGAAATGAACTGTGAAAATGAGGTCAAGGTCAAATAAAACCTGTGAGACTGACATGTACATCATAAAATATTTCCATACACCAAATATAGTTGACCCATTGCATATAGTATTGGAAAAAAAGACCAAAACTCAAAAAAATAACTTTGACCACTGAACCATGAAAATGAGGTCACGGTCAGAACACACCTACAGTTGGACATGTACACCTTACAATTATTCCATATACCAAATACTGTAAGTTCAGAAATTATTGCGTGCATTTATTATTGCGATTTTATCATTTTAGACTTAAATGCGAATTTATTTTTTACGATTTTGAGAAAAATCCTGTTTAATTCATATAAAATATTTCAAAATGCCAGTCTAAATTATTGCATTTATATCTCTGTCGCATTTTTCGCAATAATAAAAACCTCGCAATAATTTCTGATTTTACAGTATAGTAGACCTTCTGCTTATAGTATCTGATATATGGACTTGACCACTAAAACTTAACCTTGTTCACTGATCCATGAAATGAGGTCGAGGTCAAATGAAAATTGTCTGATGGGCATGAGGACCTTGCAAGGTACGCACATACTAAATATAGTTATCCTATTACTCATAATAAGAAAGAAATTAACATTACAAAAAATGTTGACTTTTTTTTTCAAGTAGTCACTGAGCCATGAAAATTAGGTCAAGGACAATGGACATATGACAGACGGAAACTTTGTAACATAAGGCATCTATATTCAAAGTATAAAGCATCTAGGTCTTCTAGCTTCTAAAATATTAAGCTTTTAAGAAGCTAGCTAACGCCGCCCCCGGATCACTATTCCTATGTCTAGCGTCGCAGACTCGACAAAAAGTTTAAATTTTGGACCCTTTGGACTTTAATATGGACTAATTTGAAAACAGGGCCCAAAATTAAAAATCTGAATGCACAGTTAGATTCAGCATATCATAGAACCACAAGAATTCAGATGAAATCAAAGTCTTTGGACCTCAATGTAGACCTATTTAAAAATGTCCAAATATCCAATATAGTAATACATGGTAATAAAATGCTCCACTGGGCGCAGCTTGATACGACCGCAGAGGTCGAACCCTGAACAGTTGGGGCAAGTATGGACACAACATTCAAGCTTGATACAGCTCTGAATTTGGATTGTGATTAAATATTTGACACAGCATAGGTTTCTGACACAGAATGATTGTGGTCTAAGAACTTAAAATTTTTTAATTTACCTAGTATGGTCCAATATCCAAAATCTAAATACATACACGGTAAGATTCAGCATATCAAAGAACCCCAAGAATTCAATTTTTGTTAAAATCAAACTAAGTTTAATTTTGGACCCTTTGGACCTTAATGTAGACCAATTTGAAAACGGGACCAAAAATTAAGAATCTAAATACACGCTTAGATTCAACATATCAAAGAACCCCAATATTTCAATTTTTGATGAAATCAAACCATATCATTATTATTTGCTTTTACATATAAATCAAAAATAACCAACTAAAAATTGAAAATTTTAAAGAAAAAAAAAAAAGGAAAAAAAGGGGAAAAAAAATCCCCCCCCCCCAATTTTTTGAACCCCTTATGATTCATCACCCCCAAACTCAATCCAAGCCTTCCCTTTGTGGTATGGTACCTTGCAGTACAATTTCAGAGAGATCCATACACTTAAACACAAGTTATTGTCTGGAAACAAGAAAAATGCTTTTTTTTGGCCCCATTTTGGCCCCTTATTCCTAAACGTTTGGGCAATTACCCCCAAACTCAATTCCAGCTTTCCTTTTGTGAAAAGGAACCTTGTAGTACAATTTCAGAAAGATCCATACACTTACACACAAGTTATTGTCATTAAACTAGAAAAATGCTTGTTTTTTGCCCCTTTTTTTGCCCCTAATTCCTAAAATTTTGAGGCAATTACCCCCAAACTCAATTCCAGCATTCCCTTTGTGATATTGAACCTTGTGGTACAATGTCAGAGAGATCCATACACTAACACACAAGTTATTGTCTGGAAGTTACAAAAATGCTTATTTTTGGCCCTTAATTCCTTAACTGTTGGTACCATAACCCCAAAAATCAATCCCAACCTTCCTTTTGTGGTATTGAACCTTATGGTAAAATTTCATAGAGATCCATTCACTTAAACTAAAGTTATTGTGCGAAAACCAATGTGTCTTCGGACGACGACGCCAACTTAATACCAATATACGACCGCAAAATTTGTTTGCGGTCGTATAAAAACCTCAAACAATTCAAGACTTTAACTTAATCCTCATTGAAATTGGTTAAAAGATTTGTATTTATTTTCAATTGAAGATTTCTTGCTGTTGTGCAATAAATTACTGTTGCGCAATACTTAGTTAATCTGTTTACACACTGAATATAATAATTTACAAACCCTGTTTGGTCTTTAGTTTCTTAACAATTAAAGCCACAACCAACAAAATCGACCCCAACCTTCTGTGTGTGGTATGGAACCTTGTGGTACAATTTCATAGAGACCCATAGACTAATACTTTTGGTGTTATACCACCAAATCATAGTACGTCACATCTGGTTGCATACGAAAATAGGTCGAAAATAAATATTCCCTTGAATTTGACAGTGTAGGTAATTGATCCTACATTTCATTGCAGTAAAACATTTCTGGGTCATAAACATATATCTTGGGTATTTCAAAGCACCATTATTTTTTTATTTGGGGTTTCTATAGAATATTTTGGAAACTTGAGGTTACATGGTTACTAAAGCTTGTACACAGGTTAAAAAAGGGGAAAAATTTGATTGGTTAACTTCCAGTGATGGTTATTTTCTTATATGCAATGAAATGTTAGGTGAAATTTTTTCTATAGTACTGGACAGGATAAAACTTTACTCATGCTAAGTATTTCTTTATTTGAAACAAAGATAAATTCTGCACAATTTTTTGAAAAGTGCAAATTTAACAAAGACTAATAGGGGAAAATCAATGGTGGTATTACACCTTATTAAGTAATTGTCCATTTACCAGGAAAACCTTGTTTTCCACCTTTTTTTCCCCCCCTAATTCCTGAACGGTTTGGGCCATAACCCCCAAAGTCAATTCCAACCTTCCCTTTGTGGTGTGGAACCGAACCTTGTGGTACAATTTCATAGAGATCCATACACTTATACACAAGTTATTGTCCGGAAACTACAAAAATTGCCTTTTTTGGCCCCTTTTTGACCCCTAATTCCTAAACAATTAGGCCATAATCCCCAATATGAATCCCAACCTTCCTTTTGTGCTATTGAACCTTGTGATTAAATTTCATAGAGATCCATTCACTTATACTAAAGTTATTGTCTGGAAACCAAATGTCTTCGAAAGACCACGATGGCAACACGATAGCAATATACAAAGGCAAATTTTTTGCTGTCGTATAAAAAAATAACAATGACCAATGAACCATGAAAATGAGGTCAAGGTCAGATGAAACCTGCCAGTCTGACATGTACCCCTTACAATCACTCCATACACCACATATAGTTGACCTGCTGCATGTAGTATCTGAGAAATGGACCTAATCACGTAACTTTAACCTTGATCAATGATCCATGAATTGGGGTCAAGGTCAGGTTAACCCTGTCTGACGGACATGTAGACGTTGCAAGGAACCCATATACCAAATATAGTGATCCTATTACTCATAATAAGTGAGAAATTCACATGACAAAAAAACTGTAATTCTTTTGACAAGCAGTCACTGAACCATGAAAATGAGGTCAAGGACAATGGGCATATGACAGACAGAAACTTCGTAACATAAGGTATCTGCACACAAGGTATGAAGCATCAAGGCCTTCTACCTTCTGAAATTTATATACAAATAGTTTATGCTGCCGCTGCCGGATAGTAATACCTATGTCTCGCATACTGCGACTTTCGTCACAGGTGAGACAAAAATTATTGACTACACTGTTGCTGGAAAAGGCAGGCCTAAGTCTCTCCTTCACCACTAAACAAGGTGAGACAAAAAAGCTTGGAAGATATTACAAATGTTTGAAGAAACACAAAGCCATATGTAGAAAATATTTAATGATGTTTTAATATTGCCTGGCAAACAGCCCAATCTTTTTATTAAGTTATAGAATTTCTGACGCTATTAACAATGTAACATACGACCGTTACCATGTCAACATGTAACCATGACAATATGTACATAATGAGTATCATACACATACACATGTTCTCTCACACACATTTGTACACATTATAAAAATATATACATTAAATGTTACCTTTGTAATAAATAATCACATTAAAATAAAAATGTTGTACAACGTTAAAATTTTGTGACCAAATTTTTGCTGTAACGAAACAATAAAATAAATCAAAGTATGAGATATAAATTGATTGAAGATCAATATAAGAGAAAGAATCATTTTTGTTATACATCTTTATTTCTGGAATAAGATATTAGTTGTATTAAAATCCTACAATTCTCATGCATTCTTTTGTAAAAATGCATTAAAATATGTTAGTACTCAGACGATTCCCTTTTTCCAACAAAGTTGTGTTAAAATCCCACCTACTAAATGGTAATTTCAAGATGTTTTAAAGGAATTATATTATAAAATGTGAATTTTGATAGTTAACATTACGTAGGTTTCTCCATGGACATGTTAATACTTTTTCACAATATATTTTAATCCCTGATCACATTTCTATGATGATTTCATTTAAACCATGACTGCAGTTTTTAAGTTTCTAAAATTTGTAAACTTGAGATAAGCTACAGAGAGATTGTGTATTTTTAATATCAAAGCACTGTTTGCAATCTTTTTAAAGATTTTTTTTTTCCATTTGCTATTCACCAATTTTTGTTTTAAAAAGCAAGCCAAGCAGATTTAATGCAACAAATAAAAGTTTTGAGCTTAAAAAAATTTGACCAAATAATTTAGAAACATTCCTGATTTGTCAAATGAGAAAAAAAAATTATAAATATTTTAAACCATTAAAGATATTTGAAAGATTACTATTGGGAATTGTATACTGCATTTTACTATTATTGGCTCATTTGCATCCCTGTACCTAGAATATATGCTACCCATGAAAAACAATGCAGTGTGATTAACATATTTTCATGTAAAATTTAATGGGATTTGATGCATCAAATTTTTACTTGAAAATAAAATATACCAAAAAAAAGGTACGATTCAGTAGACAACAAAAGCATTGATGATTGAACTATAGGACAATTTGTCAATGTGTTCTTCAAAGTGTTTGTGAGAAAACAATTCAAAATAAATTGTACATAATTGTCAAAAAAAAAGATAACAACTTTCCATATATACTGGTATAAATCATAATCAGTGAAAAAGTTTTGAATTTTTTTCAGTACTATTCCATGGCAACTTTCATTTTAGGTAATTTTGATTTTTGATTTTTCTCATTTCTCAAATCCTATAGTAGTTATTGTCAGGTTGATACAAATCATCCCCCCTTTTGTCAAACATAGATACTTTAAAGTTAGCACTAATAAGTTATTGACAATTTCTAAAGCGTACACATACATGTATCACACTTCACACACACGGACAGCATCCCTCACTATTGTACACTGTAAACATTTGGAACTTACAGGATGACTTCAACTTGTTCTTTAAAGTTATGTAACAGGTCTGATATAGATGGAACTCGGGTTTCACTATAGTTTTGTATAGGCCTGATGATAAATGTTGAAACAAGAAACCGATACTGTATACAGGGATGGATTCAAAATTATTCTTTCATAATGTTTTATGTTTTCATATCACGACATTTACAAATAAAAGTCCTGTTAGTTCAAACGATCATCTGATTGTTAGAGTGGGTAAAGGATCAATGTACAAGATATAATGGAGGTAATAACCATTTATTAAAGGAACGAGGTCTTTATCAATGTTCTTAGATTGGACTTGATACTGGACAAGAGATTCAATGTCATTTGGAGGAATGGTATTCACCACAATGAATCGTTTGAAAAATGTCCACTGGTACTGCCATCAAACAATTCACATGAAAGCTATAGGCATTATGATAAAAAATTGAGCAGTATGGCCATTTAGGTCAATATCTAGTTAAAAAAATAAAGTTAGGAACATACAATATGTGGGACTGTTTCATGAAAGGAAAATAAATGAACTCACACGAGAGGTGGAGAAATAAAAAGGCTGACAATATCTCCATGACAACATATAAATATTATAGGTGACCTTTGTAAGGTGTCAAATACAACACTGGTAACCATGGAGATTCATAACAACAAACGTATTGCTTGACACAGATGTACTGAGTATGATCCTTGTCCATTAAACGTTTGAATAGTCCTGAGATAACACTAAAGACACATCTTACAGAAACACCAAGAGGACCAATAACGCTTAACAATTTCTATGTTAAAAGTTCCTCTTTTTCATGAATATTTCCATACTGACATTTAAAAACAAACATCCAACCAATTAGAAATGTGTCTGTTAATAATTTAAGATATGTTTCTAAATACACAAATATAAAAACAAAAATAACTGCACTTTTTAGCATCTTCTGACACAAAAACATTCAGAAGATCATGTTAACAGATTCAATGTTGAAATCAAACATCTACATGATTGAGATGGCATGTCCTTGACTTCACACTTCCTCCATTAGAAATTTTTGTCCACATAAAAATGCTTTTTTTTTCACATATTAAATGTTTGTCATTTCCCAGCTAATATCACCGTCCGTCCTTCCCAAGCTAATATCACCGTTGGTAATCTTCCATAGGTTTAACTATTCCTTCTGAAACAATAAAACAAACTGTTGGTTAAAATGTTCACTGGCTGTTTTTTTTGTTGTTTTTTTTTTTGAATCTCATGTTCTATCATGTGTGTCAACTCTCCAAAAAAATATCCCTCTGAATTCTGGTCTCACGACAGGAAGGTCAAATCTCCCTATTTCTCCCTGTTACGGTCAAATCTCCCTATTTCTCCCTGTTAGGTCAAATCTCCCTATTTCTCCCTTTCACAATATTATTTCATGAAAGGCAGTTGTAAGTCCTGTAAAACTTAACATTTGGTTGTCAAAACTTTGATCATTTGCACAATTCTGAGTGCCAAAGCAACCTGAAATATTGTTTTTAACTAATTAATTTATAATTTGATTAATCTGAATGTTGGGTCTAAAAATATTTTTAAACATTAATAATTTGACTGCAATACAGTTTGATAAAAAATTATGGAAATAAAAAGAGGAATGTCTCCATGGGACACAGATGCTCTGCTAGTAAATAAGCAAGAGTCAGTACAGGGACGTAACTAGAGAACGGTGAAAGTGAAGCCTTCCAAATGTGTTTTTGGTGGTAATAAGCATGTGTATAAATTTCATATCATTTGGCCTTTTATAGCTTACTATGCTGTCTGGGTTTTGATCATTGTTGAAGCCCGTACAGTGAACTATAGTTGTTAATCTACGTCATTTGGTCTCTGGTGGAGAGCTGTCTCATTGGCAATTATACCACATCTTCTTATTTTATAAATCGAGAACCGAGGAAGTGACGCCACCCAAATTTGAACTTGATCTGTGTTGGGTTGTAATAAGCATTGTGTAGAAGTTACATAACATTTGGTTGAGGCAAACTAAAGTTATAGAACGGAAACCAATATCGAAAGGTATGTGCGGACACAGGTAAACATTAATGCCTCCTTCAACTAGCGGCAGGGGCATAAAAAAAAGTGTAATAGGCTTTAAGAAGCTTTGCACACAAAACAAATTATTCCACTTTTAATTTTGAGAACCTGACGCCTAAGGATTTATTGATGGAACTACTGAGAAATGTCCATGGAGGGCTCAATATTTTCTTCTGAAATTCATCCACTATTTTACTCAGCTAAGAGTGATTTTATATATAGTTACAACTGTCTCTGATTGCAAAATAATATTTTAAATCTATCAAGAATGGCACAGAATCTTTATAAACTTACCATGATAAACTTTTAAAATTGCTTCACAAACAAATTTATATTGACTCTGAAAACAGAAAAAAATAACATAAATTACTGAAAGATCATAACTATGGGACAAATTATCTTTATTTATTAAATCCCTTAGAGGTTTAGAATCAAATCCCCTTAGAGGTTTAGAATTAAATCCCCTTAGAGGTTTAGAATCAAATCCCCTTAGAGGTTTAGAATTAAATCCCCTTAGAGGTTTAGAATCAAATCCCCTTAGAGGTTTAGAATTAAATCCCCTTAGAGGTTTAGAATCAAATCCCCTTAGAGGTTTAGATTTATATTTTGTTATTTTGTGTTGTTGGGTTGCTGTGACATACATGTGTATATCTGATATTTTCTTTTAACCATAGGATTATGCATTCAATATGATGAACTGAATGTGAACATTTACCTGATACAAATGGAATAAAAAAGAAAATTACAAATATCTACCTTTAAATACAGTGCCCTTTTATACTGCTTTTGGTTTTAATCTAAACTAAATTTGTTACATTTTATTTTTCTGACTTTAACAAAGACAAGGATTCCGTATAAATAAGATAACTGATAACACTATTTACAAGAAACATGAAGTTGAATGTAATCTCAGAATACATCTTTGAGAAAGCTTTACAATTACAAACATATCTTTATCTGTATACAGAAGAACCAAAGATAGTATTTGGAAACTTCAAAGTAAAAGCCCATATAAAGTGACAGAAAATAATCTACAGAGTACATCTCAATATTATAAAGCTTTAAATCATTCCCTCTTTTGTTACTGAAAACCTTTAATGAAATTATCATGGCGGTGTCATCAAATTTCTAAAGCTACTGAAACAAAACCAAATTTCTTTCATAAAAGCCAGGAAAACTTTATAACAAAATTCATTTCAGCGAAAGTTGTATAATTTCGTATTGTCTTCGAATAGAAAGTGGTTGCATTGCAGATCAATCTTTATCAGCAAGCCTAAAAATCAAACATACAACATTTCCTTTTAAATAAACCAACAAATTTTGACAATATTTAATGGTTAAGTTTGTAAACCATGAAAGAAGAGCTTCACCTTACCGTATAATAACTAACCATATAATATGTGTCGAAGTCAAAAGTCAACTAATATATTACACATCATAACCCCTAAGACTCATATATTACACATCATAACCCCTAACACTCATATAGTACACATCTGGAATATACATCTACACCAATTATACACCACAAATTCTGGATTTACTCTGATTATCATTAAATTATTTTTTGATACATTTAAGAACAAATGCTGTTTTAGCACAATAATTTGTACAATGGTGCCATATTTTGCCATCAATACTTACAGCAGTTTGTATTAACATAGCACGTTGGTCTCTCATTTGGCGTACTATAGACAATGGATAAACAGGTTGGTTAGCTTCTACTAAACACATGGCTGTTTCCATGGTAATTAAAACACCTGTTCTTCCTATACCAGCACTGAAAACACACAAATATTTACATACAAATTTTGATTAAACTTTACTGAAGTTTGGTAATTGCAGAAATCTTCACATTTTTCAAATGCAATAAACTTTTTGAGACTGATCCCTCGACGTCTAAAATTATGTTTAGATTAGACCAGTAATCAATTACCACAGGTTGAATTACTGATGAATACTCATATTATGTCCTGATACAAGTGTTCTGTTTACACAGGGTTAATCCTAGACGAGTTTAATTGTAAGACTTTTAGCATATTTCTTGATCTGTATTTTTTCTAATCCTTGCACATCCTTATACTGTTTTTTCTTTTTTTTAATTTTCATTTCATAGTTGTAAAAAAATGAAAAAAAAATCAATTTTTTTACTCCTTGCAATTTGAAAACAACGTCCATTTCAGAACCTGTCCATGTTCTGTCTTAAATAAACAAATCAAGATGTATGTATGGAATTGATAACACCTTAATGTGCAGTATCATCTGGTACCCCTAGCTTCAATACTCACCTACAATGGACTACCGTTGGTTCTACCATGCCCTGTCGTCTTTCCCGTACTTTTATTACAAAATCTAAGAAATCGGCAGGATCATCAGGCACTCCATGATCTGGCCAAGCTATATACTGCATGTGTGATATATGTCTCTCTTCTCGGGTCTGAAAATAATAAACAATTCAAACTTTAACCTCCAAGGAAAATAATCTAATCAAAATGATATTTATATGTACATAGAAATGTTGATAAAATGTTGTAACCTGTATAATTAATGCTGTAACCTGTATAATTTCATTTCTAGTTGTTACCTTGACATTTATCCCATTTAGGTTTTAAGGTTTGTTTTTCTCCATTTTCGACTCAAAACTATTTGTTATTAGTATATCATATCTGTAGATAGATAAACATTTATTTGGTTTGTTGAATACAATACTAATAACAAGTTTTATCCATACCTCTATATTTGTTAAATTAAATTCTCTAAAAGCAAAAGAAGTGGATTCATCTTCCTTGACACATGTGATTTGTAATGCCCCATAATCTAGTGTCTCATACATGTCAGGCCAGTACTGGTGACACTTCACCTACAAATACAAACACACATGGTGAAGCTTTATAATTTATATGCAACAGTACTGTAAACAAAAAAAAAAACCAATATTTCATGTCATAAGGGTTTGACAAACAAATAAAATATGAACAAATAATTATTCCTTGCATGTTAAAAGAATAACAAGAAAAACTGCAAAAAATTCAATAGCGCCAGGGTGAATTCTATTAAATGCCCTTGACTAAATATCTTCTACTCATAAGGAACCATTATAGCAAGTCAATTATTTGGTTTTCAGGAAGAACATAATAAATTGCATTTGGCTTTTTAGTATATATGATGACGCTCCTCTCTCAAACATGACTATACACTGAAAATCTTCTGAACTGATTGCACTTAAACAGATATCACTAAAATTGGATTTGATAAATATTAAATGCATTTTAATGGACAACCCCTCAGTCAATATGCTCAATTAATTAAATATGTAAATAAAATATAAAATAATACACCTACCCTTCCTCTCTCATTCTTCATTGTTAACATGACAAGTAATGATGTGTGTTGTTCCCACACCATCTGCCAGAAATCTGTACACGTAGCCGGTAAAGGTCCTTGAGCAGCGATGTAACGGTTCACAATTCCTGAACCAGGGATTTCCATCTATAAATACAATGTAAACTTGTGTCTAAGTGGTTTTTTTTTCACAAAATATCTTATAAAAACATGTTAATAAGTTATAGTGAATTGTTTTAATGATAAGAGGTACGACATATAAATGAAGACATTGAACAGGTGTCACAATTTTTCTTGTCAAACATCTGTAATTGAGATGGATGCTTTATATCCGGTTGACAAATTTTCAACCATCTTGCATAGAACATGTTGTTGTGAAAGGAATATGAATATGACCCCACTCTGTACTAGACCAAATCACTGAACAGATTTTTATTCTACTAGCTCACAAATTAGCGATCAGTATGAAGACATGTCATCCCGTCAAAATACATTTTTGTAACTCCAAGCAAGTCCCTTTTTTACTCCAATATGCCACATGCTTTGCAGGGAACAAGAAAATACCAATTATAGTCTGGTTTGACCCAGGAAGGATCAGACTCATGACCTCCTGTAGTCAAGGAAAGCATGCTTCTTTATAATTGAGGCAGCTGAGAATCCATGTAAATGTGTTAATGATTATACCAGAGGAGAAAAATAGAACTACATATGAAATAAGTTACAATGATTATGTAAACAGGGAATTTCTGTACTAGATCATAAAATAATGATTGATACTTACATTTACATAATTGGCATTAATATAATCTGTCTGTCCTTTTAATATTACTCTAGTTTGGTCATCTGTAAAGAAAATATCAAAATTAACAATATTCACTTTCCTAATTATTAAGTCAAAAGTTTGTAATATTATATGGTTGATGGTTATGTAGTCTTATTGACAAGATTTTAAACAAGGGTTAAAACTAAACTTCATCAATTCTCATCAACCTTTAAAACCTGCAAATAAACATACAAAGGCAAACAACTCTTTCTCAGCTACTATGGATTCAGTATTATTCATTGGATACCAATTTCCTTTGATTTCATGGGAACCACGAAATTAAGTGTTCAATGCATTACAAATTTTCTATAAGGTTATATGCAGACTTTGGCAAAACCACGAAATCAAATATCCACGAAAATGCAAGTTTTCCTCAATCCACGAAAATGAGTACCCACGATAATAAATGAATCCACAGTATATTGGATGGGTTATTCAGGACTGAGTAAGGGTGTAGGATACTACTGCATGCAGTCTCAACAAAAGTACCAATATATTAATTTAAGAGTTTGTTTACAAGACAATTTGGTTACCTTAATTTGTGCAGCATGGCAAGATCTTTTTTTAATGCATGCTTTTCTTATAACGTTATGGAGTTTTGGTCAGAGGAAGGAGTAAATTGTATATTGAAATAACAAAAAACCTTACAATCAAATGTATTTCTATGTCCATCCAAACATTGAGTGGGTTGTTTGTTTCATGGTGATATGAAGGGGGATGGTGGTGATACAAACCTGACACGTACAAATTGGGTTGAGTTGATAGAAGAGGAGTGTAGTAATATATAATTACATGTACAAATTAGGTCAGGGTGATAGGATGGGAGAGTGTAGTGTGTAAATAAACCTACAGGGAGATATATCTCTGTATCTATTCTTGGCAATATTGGCATCTTGTCTGGCAGCATTCATTGTCATTCCAGGTTTCTTTCTGTATAATTGCTACAATATAAAATGGAATATTGTAAACCGTGGTCTCTTATTTGCTTTATTATATTTCTAAATGCAGCAATTAATTTTTTACTTTTTCCTTTTTCTGTAGCATTAATGTGAAAAACTTTCAAATTATAATGAGAAGTTTAAAAAAAATATAGAGGCAACAGTAGTTAATCAATGTTCAAATCTGATAAATCCATTAAGAAGATGGAATGGCATGAAACTCCAAAAGGAGCAAGTGAAGGTATAGGGTAATCATCTCCTGTTATACATGCATCAACCACCATGTAAATTTACACTTAAAATGTCACAATTGGTAAATTAACAGTTCAGACGACTATTCTGGTATCACAAAATCTAAGACAGCTAAAACATGTAGCTACACAGACACATCGTATTGGTCAACACATTTGTGATGTTGACCTAAAAACTTATGTAATGTGTATTTCTATTGTTTTTCCTCATAAATCTGTTGCAGTAGTTTTTGTGTCAGGACCATGATTATTTATAAACTTCAGTTATGTATACAAGTAACTCTTTTTAAATTTTACAGATTGCTATTCTCCACAAAGTTGAACTTACATCAAATTGTGCCAGCGCAGCACCACTCTCTAAACTTTCTTGTAATAACATGAGTGAGTTTTCTAAAGCATTTGCTCCCGTTAAAGAGCCAGTGATTTGATGAGAGTCAGGTATATATACTAGATCAGGGTCCTGGTCAGCTTGTTCTTCTCCAACATACACTGAAAATATAAAGTATATACTAGATCAGGGTCCTGGTCAGCTTGTTCTTCTCCAATATACACTGAAAATATAAAGTATATACTAGATCAGGGTCCTGGTCAGCTTGTTCTTCAACATACACTGAAAATATAAAGTATATACTAGATCAAGGTCCTGGTCAGCTTGTTCTTCTCCAACATACACTGAAAATAAAATACATATACCAGATCAGGGTCCTGGTTAGCTTCTTCTTCTCCAACATACACTGAAAATAAAAAATATATACTAGATCAGGATGCTGGTCAGCTTGTTCTTCTTCAACATATACTGAAAATTAAGAAAAAACATATCTATTATGGTTACAGAATTATGATGTAGCCAGATATACCACATCAGAGCCATGATTGCCTTATAAAGCTTAAACCAAGCATGCTTTCATTGAGAGCCAAATTTATTACACCAAGTCCATGGTTGATTTTTTTGCTTCAGGCAATTATTACAAAGGCATGCTCTTGTTACAGAGCTGGCTAAATGAGGCTATTATTACAAGGGCATGCTCTTGTTACAGAGCTGGATTAATGATGCAATTATTTCAAGGGCATGCTCTTGTTACAGAGCTGGATAAATGATGATGTTATCATAAGGTAATGTTCTCGTTACAGAGCTGGCTAAATGAGGCTATTATTACAAGGACATGCTCTTGTTACAGAGCTGGTTAAATGAGGCAATTATTATAAGGGCATGCTCTTGTTACAGAGCTGGCTAAATGAGGCTATTATCACAAGGGCATGCTCTGGTTACAGAGCTGGCTAAATGAGGCTATTATTACAAGGGCATGCTCTGGTTACAGAGCTGGCTAAATGAGGCTATTATTACAAGGGCATGCTCTTGTTACAGAGCTGGCTAAATGAGGCTATTATTACAAGGACATGCTCTCATTACAGAGCTGGAAAAAAATGTTGTGGGTTTTCCAACAAAACTTTTTTTCATTTCCAATAAATGGAATAATGATTAATGCTATATCAATTTTCATTATAAGAAAGACTTGATCCAGTGATATAATTACTAGACAATCCTTCTGTACTGCAGGTAAATTTACAGGTAGATAATTAGCTACACCAGACATTTAAATATACATCTACAAGTATTATGACCAGTGGGGTTACTCAGTGCAACTTATTTGATGTCAACAAAGTGACACAGTACACAAAGTGACACAGTACACTATGATGAAGATATGGTCTCATTTCCTGTTATGTGTCCATACCAAAGTCCCAACAAAATCACATGGTTAAATTCCTTAGCCTTCAACAGGTAGTTATATCAAAAAGTACATGTAAACTAGTACATCCATTTTCTTTTTATTCTATATTCCTAATTTATCCTTAAATAAAATGCTCCGCTGGGCGCAGCTTGATACGACCGCAGAGGTCGAACCCTGAACAGTTGGGGCAAGTATGGACACAACAAGCTTGATACAGCACTGAATTTGGATTGTGATTAAATATTTGACACAGCATAGGTTTCTGACACAGAATGAATGTGGTCTAAGAACTTAAAAAATTTTAATTTACCTATTCAAACCATATCATTATTATTTGCTTTTATATATAAATCAGAAATAACCAATTTAAAATGGAAAGTTTTAAAGAAAAAAAAAGGAAAAATAAAATCCCTCCCCCAAATTTTTTGAACCCCCTTATGATTCATCAACCCCAAACTCAATCCCAGCCTTCCCTTTGTGGTATGGTACCTTGCAGTACAATTTCAGAGAGATCCATACACTTGAACACAAGTTATTGTCTGGAAACTAGAAAAATGCTTGTTTTTAAGCCCCAAATTCCTAAACATTTAGGGCAATTACCCCCAAACTCAAACACAGCTTTCCCTTTGTGATATGGAACCTTGTAGTACAATGTCAGAAAGATCCATACACTTACACACAAGTTATTGTCCTGAAACTAGAAAAATGCTTGTTTTTCCCCCTTTTTGGCCCCTAATTCCTAAAATTTTGATGCAATTACCCCCAAAATCAATCCCAGCCTTCCCTTTGTGGTATGGAACCTTGTGGTACAATTTCAGAGAGATCCATACACTTGAACACAAGTAAATATTGTCTGGAAACTAGAAAAATGCTTATTTTTGGCCCCTTATTCCTACACGTTTTGGGCAATTACCCCCAAACTCAATTCCAGCTTTCCCTTTGTGATATGGAACCTTGTAGTACAATTTCAGAAAGATCCATACACTTACACACAAGTTATTATCATGAAACTAGAAAAATGCTTGTTTTTTGCCCCTTTTTTGGCCCCTAATTCCTAAAATTTTGAGGCAATTACCCCCAAAATCAATCCCAGCATTCCCTTTGTGAAATGGAACCTTGTGGTACAATGTCAGAGAGATCCATACACTAACACACAAGTTATGTCTGGAAGTTACAAAAATGCTTATTTTTGGCCCCTAACTCCTTAACTGTTGGTACCATAACCCCCAAAATCAATCCCAACCTTCCTTTTGTAGTATTGAACCTTATGGTAAAATTTCATAGAGATCCATTCACTTAAACTAAAATTAGAGTGCGAAAACCAATGTGTCTTCGGACGACGACGACGCAAGACGACGCCAACGTCATACCAATATACGGTCGTATAAAAAGAGTTGAATGGTAATTAAAAGTATTCAAAATACATTTTTATCAATTTAAACTTCACTATTTTTTAAATACCCAGGACATTGTATCAACTGAATAAAAAAAAGTTGTTTATATTATTACTTCAGAAATATCTAGCCTTGATCCACTGATATGTTAACTAAATTTTATCAATTAACCATCAAGTATCATTACCTGAATAGCCCCCAACGGTGACTGGGGAATAGAAATATGATCACTTAGGTCTTCTTCCCACCGGCAGTAAACCCTTGCCAAAGTGGGACATCCATTTGGCTGTGCAGGATTTACAAGTTTTCAGACATATATAGTCAGAATGGGGACGTTAATTTTGGTGCCTCGTGTAAAGAAAGTGCCATGCTCTTTGCACATTATGATCCCTTACAACAACTCTTAGAGGGGTCCCTAGGTGGCTGGTTGCAGTGCGAAATTTCTGTTCCTTTCCAATATACCCTGATTTTCCAGTACCAACAATCAATCAATCTATCATTCCCAATATACAGGCCATCAAGAATAAGGCTACCACTAGGATGAAATGTAGATATCAACTTACTAAAATACACAACATTTCACTGGGAAAATGGGGAGGAATGATAACTGAAACAAAGTGATAGGATATACTTACTGAAATATACAACAATCATTATAGCCACAATAATCCACAGGCAGTGGCAATACCAGTACTTCCTTAAAGACATGATTAATGATCAAACCCAAAAAAAATTATGTCATAGCACATATCTAACAGAGGTGACAGTACCAAAATAAATTCCTCGTGATGTTCAGCTCATTGATTCAGCTGAGAAGCATCTTAGTGGTAACCTATATATACCCTGATGGTAACTTGTCCTTGTGATGTTCAGCTGAGAAGCATCTTAGTGGTAACCTATATGGTAACTTGTCAACAGATAAACAGGATCTAACTCATAAACTGCAGAGTAATGAACAATCTATCACCAAGAGGGTTAAGATTATGATATTGTTGTGACAAGAAGAATGAACTGCTTCTAAAAGTTTACATGTATCCTCTTGATTATGATAATCCTCACGCATTGAGTGACAGACAGAAATATCTCCACAATCAAATAATTCCCTCAGTACAAACATAATATTGATCTATGATCAGAAAATTTGATTTATTTCAATGTTATGTAATCCTTCTCAATCCAATATTTCATTCACATTAAGTTAGCTATAACTTGTATCCAAATGTAGAAACAAGAAAAGCTCAGTTATTTCTCAAAAATGATAAAATAAATGTTTGACTTGTGATATATGTTTACGTGTACATAACAATTTAATCAATTCTTAGGTCAAACTTAAGGTCATTTGATACACATCAAAACATTTCTTTCTGGGTCAGAAACGAGATCAATAAATTCACCTATTCCTTTCCAGAATTTAAAAGTTAGCTAACCATAGCTTGCATTGGTTACGTCAGATTAACAAATATTTACATGAAGTGGCTATAGAGGAATTCCCCAGAATTTAAAAGTTATCTAACCATAGCTTGCATTGGTTACGTCAGATTAACAAATATTTACATGAAGTGGCTATAGAGGAATTCCGTTTAAATAGCAAAATAAATCCTGAGATTATTTAAACATCCACTTCTTTTCAGTATAGCTTTACATAAAGAAGAATAAGAATTAGTTTTAACAAATGATTTAAAATATAAAAAAAATCAATATCCTTTAATACTTGAAGAAAACCTCTAACTTCCTTGGGAAAGATAAAATTTGGTAATAAGCACTGTTGTAGTAGTTGTTCATATAGTGAAACTGTCTCTCATATAACTCATGACCATCAATGCTTATTTCTGTATAAATCTAAAAGTTGGTACCAGTCATACAGGGTGCTACACCAGTGATAAACAGTTCATTGTGATTTTAGCTGACCATCAAACTATAATCCTTACCCGCCATCACTGTGGTAGTCCCTTTACAAAATTCAGCTGGTCCAAAAACCCTCAAACAAATTTTATGACTCATTAGCCTAGAACCAGAGGGAGGGAGATTATTTTTAAGTTTAAACATAATGTCTGTGTTGTAGTAAAACTTACCATTTGGGCGAACTATTAGCACTAATTCTCCTGAATGGGTTTCTCTGGAGGCTCGTATAAACATGACCACCTACAAAACAACAACATAATCAATATTGTGGGAGATATTACAGCCTTGTTTGATATTGTTACTGAAATAACAGAATGAATGTCATTGATATTGATTAAACCTATAGATATTGGATTCCATATTTACAACAATATATCTCTTCCAACTAAAACTTGCCAGAATAAGTCATTTTGTTTGCCAAGGTCAGTCCCATACTGAAATCTCTAGCTGGCTTTTAGGTAAAACATTAGAATGAAGTGGATTCCAAACGTTCAACATCATCAGAGGAAAGAACAACATATAATAGAGGATAAATATTTGACATCACAACTTGACAACTGCTGCCTAATGACATCACAACTCGACAACTACTGCCTAATGACATCACAACTTGACAACTACTGCCTAATGACATCACAACTTTAAAACTACTGCCTAATGACATCACAGCTTGACAACTACTGCCTAATGTCATCACAACTTGACAACTGCTGCCTAATGACATCACAACTTGACAACTGCTGCCTAATGACATCATAACTTGACAACTACTGCCTAATGACATCATTACAACTTGACAACTGCTGCCTAATGACATCACAGCTTGACAACTACTGCCTAATGACATCACAGCTTGACAACTACTGCCTAATGACATCACAACTTGACAACTGCTGCCTAATGACATCACAACTTGACAACTGCTGCCTAATGACATCACAGCTTTACAACTACTGCTTAATGACATCACAGCTTGACAACTACTGCCTAATGATATGATTTTTGTTGGTCTGTGTTTTGACTGATTAAATAAGACTTCTAAAGTAAGGATAAAGGGTAGAAATAACAAGGTATAGGTAATGGTATTACTCTTCAATGTTAAATGTAATACCTGTTCATGTGTATGTTGTGAAACATCTCTACCATTTATATATAAAACTTGGTCTCCCTCATTTAACCGAGGGATGGCTAAATCAGCAGGTGTGTTTGGTGCTACCCTTGATACAATGATTGGCATCCCCTGATCTGCCCCACCCTGTAATAGAAGATAAACACTGTTAATCAATAAATCCATTCATATTGTAAACTGCAGCTTTATATCACATAAACTCACTTCTTCAATGACTTTCATTATCTATGTAAAAATTCAATATTAATCTCTCATTCAAATGACATATTAATTCATAAAATTGCCTAGACAATGAAGTCAAACATTCCCCGAACTATTAGAATAACTTTGACCCCTAAATTGATGTTGGCATGGCACTGACCTTGACATTGAAGCCAAACCTGCCCTGTTCATCTGGGATCATCCTGATGGTAACCAGACCATGTCCTTCAGGGTAACCGTTGCTGTTGTGCTATAAACAAAAATACTATCATGTAATCTTTGGAAAAATAAAATCAGTTAGGTAAATTAAAGTGAAAACATATCTCAATTCCAAATACATATTACATATAAATACTGAATTATTTGGATAATATTAAAAGGATGTTTTAAATTTATTTTAGCCATACCAATTTATCTGAAATGTAATTTGATATTATGGAATTTCAATCTTATGAACGCTCTGAAAAATACAAAATATTTTTAGTACCAATTATCGTATGATTTTGAGAGAGTTCTATCATAGAGTAAGATACATTTCCTACTATAAACAAAGACAGAAAGGTAAACCAATATACCTACCTAGTCATATATTAAGCCCCTTATAGGAGATTGGTGTTTTTTGCTCCTTGTCCAATACTATATTGCTTTCCAGTGTCTTACCAATACTAGATTACTTTCCAGTGACTTACAAATACTAGATTACTTTCAAGTGACTAAGCAATACTATATGGCTTTCAAGTGACTTACCAATACTATACGGCTTTCAAGTGACTTACCAATACTATATTGCATTCAAGTGACTTACCAATACTATATGGCTTTCAAGTGACTCACCAATACTATACGGCTTTCAAGTGACTTACCAATACTATATGGCTTTCAAGTGACTCACCAATACTATATGGCTTTCAAGTGACTTACCAATACTAGATTGCATTCAAGTGACTTACCAATACTATATTGCTTTCATTTGTCCAGTTTGTCATAAGACAGATCAGCATTTTTGTCAAAGAAATCAATTACAATTACTTCACAATATGACTACTACTGTTTTTCATATAAAGTTTAATAAAATGAAATCCACCCGGAGTTTTCTATATTTCTACAATTCATTGGAATGTTTATATATAGTTGTAAGGTAGTAAATATTTAGTGTTTTCCATCCCATTTTAATTCCTTGAAGCTAGTAACACGTGTTTTACATATATTTACCTGGAATTATGTTATCACGATGTTATCTCATTTCATGATGTTAATCTATCCTTTTTCTTTATCATTAATACGAAAAAATGTTTATTTATAAATATATCATAAAACCTACGATTGTTTGTTATTAGAATCTATGAATTGAAATCCTATTTTCAAAAAGTTTTCAATTCTCAAGTATTTAAATATGCTGAAGTGTTATAGTATTGTGATCAATAAAAAAAAGAAAGAACTAGAGGCTCTAAAAAGCCTGTGTCGCTCCTCTTGGTCTATGTGCATATTCAACAAAGGACACTCTCCAACATTTTAGACGAGAATAGAATTCATTACAAAAATCTCGGTTTTGTTGATCTTGTATTGCTGTTCATTTAGTCTGTCTAGTTTCTCTCTATCTTCTTTAGTTTTTGCTCAAAACACAAAAGAAGGTAAAAAACAAAATCCTCATTTAAGGGCAATCACTCCTATAAAGAGTGACAGTCTACTAATTATATCTGCAAAATTTTACTTGTTAGTAGATCTTGTCTTGCTCATCAAGTTTCTATTTATCTATTATAATTTTTATCATGTAAGGCAAAACACAAAAAAATGCTAAAAAATCACCACTAAAGGGCAATAACTCCAAAAAGGCACTTTGGGCCAGGTGAGCTAAAAATAAGCCAGATTTTAATTAACCATGGTGAAATATTTTTACAGAAAACTAATCAATATCAATACAAAATAGCTGACACACATAAATGTCTTGCTTTCTTTATTGATTTAATATCAACATCAATTTTGCATTTCAACAATGTATAGGTCAAGGTCAATCTATATGTATCAAACTAACATCAGGGCATCAAATAATATTGTAGAGATAAAAGAGATCAAGGCTTAGTGACATCTTTTAGACACTATAGTTGACCTAGTTTGTACAGTGCCTGAAAGACCTAGTTTGGACAGTGCCTGAAAGATCTACTTTGGACAGTGCCTGAAAAAATTACTTTATAACTAAAGCTTAACACGGACCTTGATAAGTCATTGAACCATAAAAATGAGGTCAAGTACAACTGACATACAAAATGACTTCAGACCATAAGCATTCTATATACTTAATTTGGATTGCCTATTTTTTTATCCTTTTGAAACAAACAGCTTTAAACAAATATTAAAGCAGTCACCATCTGTGCTGAAACCTAATTATCTTTGTTGAGAATTGTAAATATTAGATTCACCTATGAGGGCATTAGCCAGATTGAGTGTATCTAATTTACACCAAGATATTAATGTCAGTGCAGAATGATAGTTTTCCATAATTTAGGAGGGGGTGGGGGGTGGGCAGGTCTTTCAGTGATTTGCCCATATACATTTGTATATTTATTGAAAAGCATGATAAATTCAGGGTATCCAATTTCAATTAACGACATCATCTTGGTGTAATGAAGAAGACAAAATTTTTAAGTCAAGAATATGATATCAATGATATGAATACAAAAATGCATATCTGTGTAATCCAGACTTTGTTCTGATAGTATAAGTTCACAGGAAGATAATGCTAAGTCAAAAATTGCTTATGTATTTAAAAAGCAATACCTGTTTTAAATATCAGGGAGTATAAAACACAGGTGTATCATCAAAACTACAGGACATGTAAAACAAATTACAGAAATTTGTCAATCATCAACTTAAATGACAATTTAAGGTTGCTTCTGTTTGGTTTAATTGGAACATTCATTTTTCTCTCAAAAAAAAAAGTTTAAAAGGGGTCATATATATTATAGGACATTGGTACAATACATTATGAGGATATTCGTTTGATGGCACACATTTTTAAAATACCTGTATGCATTAATTTAATTTATTTGAACAAATGTCCCTCAACTCAAGTGGGAGTTATGATATTTGGATGGCAGTTACTTGATATATATATGCATGGAGGTTGATATTGAGTAGGAAGTCTGGAAGTTTTACATTAACTAAATTCATTTTTTTTTTTTTAAATTCAATACTGAAACTTCATACTGAAAGCAGGATCTACTGAAATTTGAACAACTGAATACTTAAATAAACATCCTTGTGATTATATCAAATTCAAATGTTTTTTTGATTTGATTTTATTTTTAAAAGCGTATTGTAATAACAATAGCTGTCACATATGAATTTCTCTTTCAAGAGGAAGTTACTTATAATGCCCCTTTACAAATTCTCCAAATAAAGTTTGATCTAAATTGTAAGTAAATAACAAATTACCCCCACTGACTCGGTAAATTTATGCAAATGCAAACATCATGTCACATTCCTAATGTATCTATTATATGTTAACAGACATATTTTTTACGTGCCAGGTTAAAGATCATAACAAAATAAATTCATTTCTTTTCATTTAATTGTGTACACAGTTTTCAATAGGTTGATATGCTATAAAATATTCCGATCTCCTATCTAAAATTAAAATTTACATAATAAATACGGGACTACTGAAATATTCCAGGTATTTCAAGTGATACAGATAATTTTAAAGCAGTAAAATAGGCTTAGTAAACAGCCATATATAGGGAGATAAATTATAAACAGACAAGCACATTACACCTATATATATCTTAATTTTGACAAAACATATAACCACTATAAAGATGTTTGTCCTCTATATAATAAATAACTGTAATAGTAAGGCACATGAAGGCATCTAACAAAATAATTTGAATGCAGATCCAATTGAACATTAGTAAATTCTTTAGTGAAAAAATGATTTGGCTTGTTTAATGCCCTTTTGCACATTCATTGTTGTATTGGGGGACTTTCTTATGTATACCAATAGAAAGGACAAGGTTAACTTTAGGCCAAATATGGCCTTGAATTTCAACTTTATCATAAATTTTCAAAATGGCCATAATTTGGTTCTTAAATGGACCTATTTCAAAAGACTTACTTCTTTGTTAAAATAAATCTCTTCATAACAGTACATTCTTGGCTTCAAAATCACCACATTTTAGATATATTGTCAAAATGCGATGATTTTGTGCATTTTTTGGACCTAAAAGCTTGAAGAAACCTTTGGCCGCAACCTAGGATCCAAAATGTTCTGTAACCAAAAGTTGTCAATGATGGTTTTGAATTCCTAGACACAAAAACTTTCTGGATCATGGTTGGCTGCCAAAGTAAATTTTGCTAGAAACTTAAAAATTATTGAAAATTTGACCAAATCTGACATTACAACACAAATAATGCATACTTAAAGAGTCAATACTTAGTCATTTTTAATGTGATGTGCCAAAATGAAGTTATTTTGTATAAATAGAAATATCACAACTATTTCTATGTGAAATTTGTAGTATTTTGGCCGGATTAAAAAAACATCAAAATCTTAGGGCCAATTTTAACCCTTCGTGAACTTACTCCTTTCAAGCAGCACTATCTGTCATTTATAATATTTACTGGTAAAAACAGAAAATATGACAACTCTTGTTTCTTTTCATTATAATATTACACTAGAAAATAGAACTATCTCTGAAAAAAATTAAATAAATAAGTCAGAGAACCAAATCTTACTATGGTAGTTAATTTGGACTAGTACACACACAGTATATGAATAAGAATTATAAGGCATAAAGGACCAAATTTTACTATGTCAGTTTAATGAGGACTACATCCAAACACAGTAGAAGCAGGGGCCAATCCTGCGATGTCAGATTAAGTTTGAATTATCAAAACCCAGAAACATAAAAGTAACATGGACCCAATCTTACCATATCAGCCTTAATTTGTACTAATCCAAACCCAGAAACATAAAAGTAACATGGACCCAATCTTACCGTATCAGCCTTAATTTGTACTAATCCAAACACAGTAGAAGAACCAATCTGACACTGCCGCAATACTAATTTGTCACCAAAATCTACCGACTGATCTACCTTCGACTTTTTATCTATTCCGTTCCTTGAAACAGTTTTCACAGTTTCATCCTTTCTTCTGTCTTTTGCACTAATTTCCTCATTTATTTTCAATTTTCCCTTCACAATAGTTTTTACAGTGAGATCAGAAGTTTGAATTCCTTTGGTATTTTTTATT